GGCATCATCGTGATCCTCTCGTCAATCCGCATCGAATGATATATATGTTGACCTCGAAAGGTCAAGGTCAAAGGCTGACCTCAGGTCACGTGACCTCGAGGTCATCATGTATATCATTCGATGCGTCTTGACGAGCTGAACACAATGAGACCATCCACGCGTCTGTATCTTGTTCCTGTACGGAGTTATTGGCCAAAAACCTTTGGTGACTTTTGATGACGTCACATGACCTCACAGCTGCCCAACAGCAAAACAGACCTCAAGGTAGTGAAGGTTGATCGTATATGAAGTCATGTATGGTATATGGGGCCATTCCGACCCGTTTTAGTGGTAAAAACAGGGAGTTGATTTTTCCCCCATTGACTTATAATGGGGAGGTCGCGAAATTGACCTGACCTTAGGTCACCGATATCAAAATTCCGAGATATACAAATTGCACATACTGGTACCCTAACTAAACCCTGAAGAGAAGAAATTGATCGGTCAAAAACTCTAGCTCTGGCGTGATTGCAAACTTTTCTGAGGTAGCGTCACCAAACCGCCTCTGGTGACCTGACCTGAGGTCAAATCAACTCAAAATTTTCAGACATGTTGCGTAGAAGCCTTTTAGGAAAAGTCAGAAAATTTGAGCTTCCTAGCTCAACGCGTTTGGGAGATATAACCAAAAAACCTCAGGGGGGGGGGGCTCCTGAGGCCCCCCCCGCCAGGAATAGGGTTAAACTTTCGTCCATAGTTCTAATCTTACGGCATCTTTCCAAAAGTTAGCTGTGGAGAACAATTTTCAGCTGGGCTCTCTATCACGAGCAGCGGCGCCGCTCGTCAGCAGCGGCGCTTGAAACATTGAGTGCAATAGAGTTTTTATCGGAATTTATACTTTGGTGACCTCTGATCATTAAAAAAATCAAAGTCAAGAATCCCCATGATATGCCTTTTCCAAGCTGACGTCAAATCCTTTATTCGACATAGCGTGAGAGAATGTGACCGATATAAATAATCATTAAGTAGGTTCATGTGACGGAGTGTGGACGTCACAACATTCCATAAACATATTGTGGCATCAGAATATGAACATGTTTCCTCCCGTCCGTACATGCATGACTCACGGGAGCTATTAGCGGATGGCTGAAAGAAGATAGATGACTGGCAAATAGCGGGATGGCTTGGGTCTGCCGAGGAATGTCAATATCTGTCTGTGCATATTAGACATTGATGGATTGTCAGTCGGTGAGGGACTTCCTCCGTGCCGTGACGTTGCTATTTGGCGTATCCACAGTCCATCAGGCTCGTCTGTGCCAGCCTGCCAGGCAGGCTAGACAGCGAGGCAAACTCTGTCTTTCTGAGCTGTGCGCTGTGCGGTGTGCACTGCACATACAATTTATGAAGCATGGAAGAGGGCGGAGAAATTAGCTGGAATTATACATGGTCGCAATGAATGTATAGTTAAACCTGCAGGGTGCCATTATGCTGACCACCTGACATGGCAGTTCGTAGATGACCTGCCAGGCTCTCTAACTAGTCTAAACCCTCGCCGGCCGAGGGGGGGGGGGGCGGGTGCCGCCCCCCATAGGGTTTTTTCGCGATAGCTCAGAACACGCTGGCGATAGAGAGCTGAAACTTGGCATACCTGACCTTTGATCCAAGCCGCATCTTTTGACACCAACCGCATTTTTGGGTCAGGTCAGGTCACTGACCTATGACGTCATAAGTGAACCTCTGCACGGTCTTCAGATGTCGCAACTTCCCAACGCCCTCACTGCCAGAGGAGATGTCACAGGGAAATGAAACTTGCAGGATCTAGTATCCATTATGAGTCCCACAACTTGTATATCTCGGATTTTTCCTAAAGGTCATATGAGGTCAGGTCATTTTCGTGACCTCACCATTATAAGTCAATGGGGAAAAATGAAAACTGTTATTCTGGCGCCGGGAACGATCTCCAACTATCTCAAGCACATAGAATCGTGATTTTATGCACTCCTTGCAAGGCTAGATGCGTCACTTTTGCAATGTTGACCTTGCGTGACGTCATTTATGACGTCATCAAGGTCATATTAGTTTTTCGTTAATAACTCTTGATCAAATTGAGCTAGCGAGTCGGGAAAGCCACCAATGGACTCAGGAAGACCTGCCGAATCGAATGATATGCGACATGACCTCTTTCGACCAACTTCGTGACCTGGGGGTGCTGACCTGACCTTGACCTGAGGTCAACACCCCAAGTTGACCTGACCCGGACAAAAAGTATATCATTCGACGCGCCTGAGCGAGGCGAACACGATGCTGCCAAAATCGGCGCTCTGCGGCCGTTTTTTGCGAAGTTATTCACCAAACACTGAACCGTACCCTGGGGCACTTGACCTGACCTCAGAGGTCACCGGTTGACCTAGGACCTTAAAATCGGGTACCAATCTCTGCGTCTCGTAACGGCGCACACGCTCGTTTTTTCCGCGACGCGCTAGCTCCACCAGGGGCGAAACGGCGAGGGGGGGGGGGTCGTACCCGCCCCCCTCGGCCGGCGCGTATGTAGAAAACCAATAGGTCCGGCGAGGGTTAAGGTCTGAATGCAGCTAGTCTAGGAAACTACTCAACTTGAGTCGAATCTTGATGTTAGGGACCACGGCGGTTGGATGTTGGAAGCTGCATTTGACCACGGAATCAACACAATCACTGCCTCTCTCTCTCTCTCTCCCTCTCTCTCTACTCTCTCTCCCTCCCTCTCTCCCTCCCTCTCCCTCTCCCTCTCCCACTCCAGTCTGCTGCCAGCTGGAGTCTCTCTCAGCCTCTCTCCGGCTGGAATTTCCGCAGTCCTACTCGTCAGTCCGCTGGCAGCTGAAGTTTCGGTTGTTATCTGGTGCCAAAGAAAAACCGCCCACGAGACCGGTGCAGCTGAGCTGGCCAGGAGTGGGAGACTCGGTCTGATTTTGGACTCCGATCTGCCACTTAGCCGTCGGACACACTGGCAGTGGACACTGGACAATGGACAATGGACGGAGCTGATATTATATTGAGGTTGACGCAATTAATTAGTTGATTGATTGACTGGCCCCTTCTCATTAGTATGAAATCATGATGTTAGTTGTATTTGCTTCAGGTATTCATATCTGGCGGTCACATATGCACGCTAGATATATACTGAGACGGGTAACATAGCACCATCGGGTGGCCGCGTTTCGTCACATTGACTATCAACACTGTTTCGGAAATAGAAACAATGCAAACACACACAAGAAAACCTGCTAAAAGTTAATATTTTGTAATAAATTGTATCATATGAGGAAGGAACTACTTTATTATAAGCTGATGAAAGTGTTATTATTGTGTGTGTTTTTATTGTTTCGTCTTCCGAAAAGGGGTGTTGATAAAGTCAATGTGACGAAACGCGTCCAGCCGATTGTGCTGTGTTACCCGTCGGTCGTCACAATATGTTTATACCAAAATTAAACGTCCGAATGAAACGTCCAGTGTGCAATGTGCACTGTGTTTCTATTGGTATCTACCTGAGGGAGGCATGTGACGTTTGATCAGCAATCAATATTATTACTGAATCATTGAATATATTCCATTAGCTGACGAATCAAATCGTCAATAGGTACACATTCTCCACACTACATGCAGTTGCAGAATGAACGTGCTCGAATGCACCAAAAAGTCGTGACGCATGTAGTAAGGCTTTTGATCTTCAAGCAAAAACTTTATCAGAAATGTAAAAGCATCCTCGAAACGCCACGAAATGGGTCACATTAATTGACCGGATCGACAAAAAGCTGACGGACGTCTCATTTTCCAGCTAGAGGTTGACAGCCTGCTCAGCTGTGTGGGCCGGTCGCGCGGCACGTGATCATTCCAGGTCCTATGTATAGGCCGCCCAACGGGAGCGGGTGTGTCCGCCGCCCGGCTAAAACTGTCCGCCGACGGAGGGAGGGGAGGGGAGGGGAAGGGGAAGGGGCAGCGCCAGGTCCAGTTATGGAAACTGCACCGGACAGAGAGCCGGCGGGGAGTGGCGAGCCAGACAAAGAAAGATGCATGCGATGACAATAAAAAACTGCACAGTTCACAATTCATACACATGTTTCCTATATGACAGCAATATTTCAAAATTGCTGTAATCTGTCTAAAGCAGAATACGCTTCCTTGCTAGGAAACATCCGTATTTTAATTGTAGACCTTATTAACGTGATGACTTTGATGCAAAATTTCTGAATGATTTCTTTACCTACATGTATGCCAGAAAGCACACACATCGAAAGGCTCATTGAGTACATTCTGAACATATTTACCTAATCAAGGAATTTCATGTAAACTGGACATTATAAAATTCCTACGTATTTTAATTCTAAATGATAGACCGCTGTGGTCTGTCTTTAAAACGAAGGTCGAAGGAACTCGAATCGAGTCGCTTGCTCCCATTTACATAGCTTAATTTTGCACAATCAGAAACTGTTTAGTCTTTCAGATAGAAATAATTGTCGTGGATCATTTCTTTATTACATCATGCATTTTTGAATATCAAGTTCCAACGATGTTACGAAACTGAGGTTAATGCGGCATGGTCCTTACGCCAATGACCATGGGCAACAACTACTTGTTTACTAAGTCTCACATTGCCCACAAGAATGTTCGTAAATATCGGTTGTTTTCATAGCGCTGAACATTGTTGTCCTTCAATGAAACGAGACACTTGAACTCTTCTTAGGGAACGGATGCATGGCACTATGGCAGTGTTTTAAGTGAAGCTGTTTTCATTTGCAGCTCGATAGCACAAACCACATATCCCTTGTAGCTTTCGATAATGAATGAGCTAGCGTAGATCGATTAGTGACAGCCGTTTAGTTTAAAGATGGTTTACTACGTGCTGCCCTAGTCATGCATGCAGCGAGTTGCATCGGATCCATGCGGCTCGCAGGTCCACCGAGCGACTTGCGCTGTTGTGCGGTGACCAGTCACTGATGCCCCCATCCCTACCAGTGACTGGAGATTCACTGATGCCCCACCCCGCCCAGTGACTGGTCAGAGCACGGTACTGCGCGGAGCACCATGGACCGGGACCGCTGGGGTCACGATCAGCCGGAGCCGGCCGGCGCCGGCAGCGACGACAGTGACAGCGAGTATGAGGAGATTACGACCACCACCCGCACCGTCAAGAAGACCACCTACAACCCCAAGCCGCTGGTGGAGGCGCTGCGCTCCAAGGTGACGCTCGCTCGGGTCTGCCGGCGAGCTGTGCCGGTCCATCGAACTGACCGCCCGCGGCCGGACGGCCCTCCGCGGCTGTCATCTGCTGTCATCTGCCAGCGGTCGTCCGCGACAGCTGCAGACTCTATCTATTCACATCTTTTTGCTACGGCCTTTTCAACTCTGCTAATGCTTCTCTCAGCAAACTTCAGGTGTACCCTCACTGCACTTTTGTCGGCATGCCCTTCCGCCTGCTTTTGATGGGTGTGTTTGCTGTGCTGTGAGATTCTAACCGCTCGAGTCACTCGAGTTGCTACCTGCTCTAACCAGCACCCTCTTCACGTCTCTGGGCTGCGTCAGACGGGCGAGCTCCGTTGTGTTTGTTTCAGGTGTCTATTTCTGGCCGGCCGGCAGGCCAATCCCACAGCATTCGGAAGACCGGCCGCCTTTTTCAGAGCGATGGATTCCACAGATTATGCTTGCGGGCGACTGTTGACATGATGCTGACCAGACTGCCCGGTGGCTCGGTATCCAGGTATGCCGGTGGTGGTTTCCTGCTCCCCTCTCTCTCTCCCTTTCCCTCTCTCCGTCAGCCCCTGGCACCCGGCACCGGCTCCACGCCCGTCGGGCCGCCCGTCTGGAACATTTCTGGAATCCGGCCGCGCTGACGGCGACTAGTGTGGCCCGAGCTGTGGCGGCGGCGGAGCCCTCCTCCTAACAGTGTCCTGAGCGGCTCCGAGCGCCGTAGTGACCTGACCTGACCTGACCTGATCTCACGGACCGGGGTGTGCTGTGATTGTTAACTCGCCACACTCGCGCCCGAGATGGGCAAGACGTCCAACATGTACAGTGCGCGAGTGTCCTCTCAGAGCCGGAGCTCCATCAGCTCGACGACAGTGCACCATGGCACGACGTCAGCGTTCCCGAGTGCTGAGCCCTCCGACCTGGAGAGCTTCTTCAGCTCCACGGTCAGACCCCTCACACTCCCCCTCCCCGGCGGCGGAAAGGTCACTGCTGTACTTCACTGATGCATGGACTGTGCTTTTGCGGTTATTGTTGTGTCACTGGAATGTCAATGATCAATGTCATCAATGTCAATGATTAATTTACTGCTGTAAAATGTTAACTGTTTTATGAGTCAGTACTGATATTCTGTTCCGAATTTATATAGTAGGACGCCTCTTTGCATTTTTGGTCAATGGCAAACGCTCACAGTTTATTTTGATCCGTGGCGAATAGTTGATTTCAATATCCACCGGAAATGTGTTTAGTATCTGACATATTTGTTGAGACCTGATCACCTGAGTCCCGTGATACGGCCCCTTCACATTAGATCAGCTTAGGTAAGATTTAGATCGCTACATAAGCCCAGTAGGTACGTAAAAGAAAAAGTTTTCCTAAACTCACTCCATTCTAAGTAATGTTTGTGCAGACAAAGCTGACCATTAACTAATGTATTCCGTATATTTTACCTTGCTTGGACCATATAAATGTGTTGGATTGGAACACAACTGTCCGCTTATCTTTCTGTTTGTCTGTCTGTGTGTCTGTCTCAGCACAGTTTTCCCCGAATACGGCTCTCAGGCCTCAGTTGCTCTTTCGATATGATGCCGGTCAATAATAATGTAAGCTAGTGAATGTATCCCTGTCAAGTGTCTGACTCGACACTACCGTCCGTTCCGTGGCGATGCAGGAGATGGGGGCCAACAAGAAGCTGTTTGGCAAGGACCTCAGCGAGTATGACAACATGGACATGGACGACATGTTGGACCAGCTGACCGCAGAGGAGATAGAGCTGCTCACCAGGGACGTGGATCCCGACGTGAGTAGTTCCCGGTGTGGTCTGGAGAGGGGTGCTGGGTGTGAGCGGTTTGGTGGAGCGGGAGTCTGGTCGGGGGGGGGGGAGGGCTCTACTGAGCAGTGAGCAGTCCCAGAGCGAGGTGAGAACTGTCTTAGAATGCCATTTTAGGGGTGAGCTCGGTTGAAATCTGGACTCTTATCGCAACTAAAATTTATCGGTGTCGGTCTCTGAAGTCTCGGAATTGGTCTCTTTCAATGACCCATTCCTCCTCTCTCTCTCTCTCTCTCTCTCTCTCTCTCTCTCTCTCTCTCTCTCTCTCTCTCTCTCTCTCTCTCTCTCTCTCTCTCTCTCTCTCTCTCTCTCTCTCTCTCTCTCTCTCTGAAACAGTCTGAGCATCTTTCGCGGGCAATACATTTAGTCGTAAATATCCCCGATTGCTTATATGCAAGAGATCGGAGAGCGTTTCTTCTGCCATGATTGTGCACACTGGTGTCAAATCAAGTCCCAAATAAGTCCTCCGGAGCCCGCACTAGCCGTACCGGAACGAGCGGTTATGGTGTGTACCAACTGTTTACTCCTATCGATAGCGTAAAGTTTATGGAGGCGCTCACTAGCGTGACAAGTGCATCGACCACATCATCATGCTGTTGCACAAACTCGTAAGATTATCTAATAGCTGTGTATGCTGGGTTTAAGTAATCATAGCAAACGTCATCTGGAACATTTAACAACACGGTGTGCTGTGGGAAAGAGGAGAGAGAGAGAGAGAGAGAGAGAGAGAGAGAGAGAGAGAGAGAGAGAGAGAGAGAGAGAGAGAGAGAGAGAGAGAGAGAGAGAGAGAGAGAGAGAGAGAGAGAGAGAGAGAGAGAGAGAGAGAAAAAAAAAGAGAGAGAGAGAAAGAGAGAGAGAGAGAGAGAGGGAGAGAGAGAGGGAGACAGAGATCCCGAGTAAGAGGTAGAGGGCAACTGTTGCACACTTCCGATATTTTGATTGATCGATGACCTTGCAAATCGAAAAGAATATCCCAATGCTCCGTTCTCCAAAGATAAATGTCCATCACTGCGCCTTGGCCTGCGCGAGTCCATCTCGGTTTGTTCAATAGCTTATGGACTAGCGGATGACATCACAGGGCAATGGACGGAAAGATCCATCTCCATAACATTGCTACGATTGATGAAATTAAAGGACACACCAGCCCGATGGTCGGGCCCGCAGCTGCACCCGCTATCCCACAGCTAGACCTGCAGTTAATGCGGGCTCGCCTTTATTGACAGACCTCCAGCGTTTCAAACATGATGCGTCACAACAGAGTTCTATCACCAGACAGAAAAGAGATCATGTATTACATACGACCCAGATATGCTGCAAATCTGTCAAATAACTTCGTTTGAAAACGATAATGGATCGATCTAGAATGAACTTTTGATTAAATGATAAGGATTTCATAACTTATTTCATTCCTGGGAAGATGACTTCGCGTACTTTCTTAAAAGCTTGTTGTCAATGAGTCATGTAAAAAAGTCGTCGGCTTAACCCGCGCCGGCTTAACCCGGGGGGGGGGGGCATTTTGCCCCCCCTGGGGTTTTTCTTAAATAGCGAGAAAACGGCCGCCAAATTTTGGATACCTTCCCTGAAACATCAATTTGACACCTTCACACAAAATTTCAAGTCACAGGTCACCTTGGGTCAGGAGTTATTGAGGTCAAACTGAGGTCATGTTCGAGTAAAAATGGGCAAAAAACATGACATCTTGAAACGCTAACCAAATCTAAGTTAACAAGCAATTTTAACGTTCTTTACGTGGTTATGTAGAGAAAAGACGGCGCTACAAAACAGTTATCTCGGATTTTCAAAATTTTGGGATTTTGACCCCCAAAAATAAAAGAAAATTGATTTTTTTGGAAAAACACAAAAAAATTCCGAAAATTTTCGAATTTCGAAAAAAACCGGAATATATGTGATAGTCCCTGCGCTCTTCCATATACATACCAAATTTTAGATCGATACCTCCTTTTTTGGCCAAGTTATAGCGAAAAAACGGTTCAAAATTGATGACGTCAAATTTTTGAACTCAATTTTTTAGCGATTCTAGACCACGTAGCGCAAAACAAAGACCACCATTGAACTCCCCGTGATGAGCTGCATCGAATCGATACCCATTTTATTCAAAAATATCAACTTTGAAATTTGACCTAATTTGACCTGACCTTGACCTGACCTTGACCTGACCTTCACCAAAAACATAATCTCAACTGACCCCAAGGGCTGCCTGTCCCACATAATCGCATTTGGCATATGAAATGGACCATAAAACATGCATCACATGATATTTTTAATTTGTGACCCGCAGTGACCTGACCTCTGTGACCTGACCTGGTATCAGTGACCGTAAATAGCAAAATATGTGTTTGACGAACATTTCCTCATCGATGATTTTCAATGAAATGCATTTTACTCGATTTTACAACGCATTTCTTGAAATGCCTGTAAACGGTAAAAAATCGACCTTTGACCTGACCTGTGACGTCATCTGTTAGACCGAGGTCAATGAAAGTAGGTCACAAGGTAGTTCGCCGTTGGGGCTATCCAACGCCGTTTGCCGCTTGTCGCTATGTTGCGTGGTTCTCGAGATCTTAGGGGGGGGGGGGCAAAATGCCCCCCCCCATCAGACCGCGTTGCTCGGCAGACCCCATCAGGGCGCGGGTTAACCCGCGAGTTGCTGGGGGGGGGGCGTTAAACGCCCCCACTTTTTTCGCCGGGCCATAGCATAAAAACGGCGCGCCGCAGGCGCGCCAAATTTTGGGTACCTGTAGGACATTGATTGAAGTTTATTGTGACAAAGTTTCAAAAAAATCGGTCGGAAAATTTTTGAGATATCGAGGTTTTAGTGACGTCATGATTTCGGAGTTTTCGACCAAAAACGGCATATGTTCAAAAAATCATATAAAATCACAGAATAGACATACAGACATGCCGTAAACGCCATTAGACTGCCAATACCATGATCAATCAAATGGCTATCTTCGATTATTGATTATCGTTCCGCATTTTCCAAAATCTTGAACTGAATCTTGGCAATTTCTCGTGACTACTTCACGACCATGATACATGAATTTCTTAAATTGAAGTTTTTGAGCCAAACACGTACACATATGATAAAATGAATGTCACCATCGTGTTCTACGCCCCAAATTACCTATAAAACATGTGTCACAGGCTGCGAATATCAGTTTTGATTTTCGGGGATATGTGCCTGCCCGGTTGACCTGACCTTGACCCTGACCTATGCTTGACTGACCTTTATATGGAGCTGACACTCTTGTAGGCCTTATAGGGTGGATTGTGCACCGTTTTGACAGAGTTTATGGCGAGAGGCGCCCATTGTGAAGTCCTGAAGTCCATGCTACTGAAAGCCCGATTTCAGGTGTTTGACCTGACCTTGACCCGACCTGTGACCTCAAAATTCAACTTTAAAGTACTCATCTGAAGCGTCTCGTCGCGCTCTTTCGTTTGCTGCCTCGCGCGTTTCGCTGCGCCTATTGGTTCTCGAGTTATCGGCTGGGGGCGTTTAACGCCCCCCCCCCCCCCCAGCAAACGGTGGGTGGCGAAATACCCCAGCAACTGCCGGGTTAAAAGCCAAAATGCTTTTATGTACATGACTTGGATTGGCCACTTTCAATCTTGGTAGTAAGAACATAGAAACGGAGGCGGAAAGTAGTTCATTGGCTTATACAATATACATACTTGGTTTGGTTTAATCATCGTATCGGTACTAAGCAATGGAAAATTTATCAATACTCATAAAACCAGTAAAACGCCTTTTGGGCGAAGAACGAGCGAGCGAGATAGTGAGCCCTTGCACGTGCGGAAGGGCGAGAGGGTGCTTCCAACGGGCTTGCGCAAAGCACCCTTCTAACTGGTCGCTAGCGGTGTGCCAAATTTGAACGCAATCGGCCCAGCCGTTCCTGAGATCTGGAAGCGGCATTCTGCACGTGCGCACGTGCAAACGGGGTCCAAAATGACTTTTGCACGGCACCCTACTGACTGGTCCCCAACCGTGTACCAAATTTGAGCGCAATCGGCCCAGCCGTTCTCGAGATCTGGAAACGCCCCCTGCACGTGCGCACGTGCAGTAGCACCCTAACCGCAACACATGGGAATGCATTGCCTGGTGGGTGCCTGCCTGTATGCCAAGTTTCAGCGAAATCGCCCCATTAATTACCGAGTTACTGAAATGGGAACAAATTTGGCACCTCTTATTGTTGTATTTTGCACGTGCACTGGGGGTGACCCACATGCATCGAAAGTATCCTATTTTGGATAGAAGGCATGCTGCTACCCTACAAAAATTACCGCAAGTCAATCGCCCAAGCGGCTGCTGAGATATGAGCCTCTCAAAATCACTATTTTTGCAAAACAGCTTGAACACCCTTGACTTTTCACGTGGCACGTGCCACGACGGTCACTGAGATGTATCAAAAGTAGTCAATTACGGGGTAGAAGGGATGGGGCTACCCAACAAAAAAGACCGCAGACCAATCGGTCCAGCGGTTGCTGAGATATAAGCCTCTCAAAAGCGTTACAGGCCGGGCCGGGCCGGGCCGGGCCGGGCCGCTCATACTGAGATTTTCCCGTTATATTGAAAAGACTCACTTCGCTCGCTGCGCTCGCTCGCTCGTAATGAGCATAAATGTCAATCTAAGGCAATTCAGCTATCATTTAGTACCTAACTAAGAGCAAGCAACTTCCTGGATATGTCCAGGAAGTCCGATAGTCCGCAAGGAAGCTCATCCGTCAGAACACTCAGCTATTCCAAGAAAAACAACGTCATCGATTCTTATTTGTGGGCTAGTCAAATCCCATTACCATTAATATCCAATTCTAAAGCTGACTTCGCGATAAGTGGCTTGACTGCTAAATGGAAAATCTGCGCTCTTGTTGATGTTTAATGCCTCGGGAAATTAAATATCATTGAAGTTGATGATCTAGCCGAGCAATAAGTTCTATCAATGACAGTGGCGCAGCCAGGGGGGGGGGTCAGAGGGTCAGCTGACCCCCCCGAAATTTCTGTCAGGGGCCCGCTCGAGAGAGTGAGAGAGAGAGAGAGAGAGAGAGAGAGAGAGAGAGAGAGAGAGAGAGAGAGAGAGAGAGAGAGAGAGAGAGAGAGAGAGAGAGGAGAGGAGAGAGAGAGGTCCTAATCTAATCGGACGAGCCCGCTTCGAGAAATGCCCACTGCGACACCTTGTTGTTGTTGTTCTTCCCTCCGCTTCTAATGAAGTGTAGCCTGTCGGCTCTGGGCGCCTCTGGCGGCCGCCGCCAGGGCCGCCACCACGGCGGTCTCCCGGACCTCCTCCGGTTCCGGGTGGATGGTGTAGCACGTCCTTGATCTCGTCCCCATCAGGGCGGGGCAGCGGAGGAGGACATGGTCCGGCCTGTCCGGCTCCTCCCGGCACAGGGGGCACCAGGACTCTCTGCAGTCATCTCTGTTGCACCCCTGGCATCCGCCTGGGATCGGAGACGGGGAGCGACCGATTCTGTGCAGGTAGGACCGGGCACCAGACCAGTGTCCGGCCCTCAGCTGGTGGACATCCACCGCGCTGGACCGCTCCAAGCCGGTAACTCGGGGCGGTAGGCGGTCGCCCATCACGGACCGGAACCACCCGGCTGGCCAGTTCTTGATAGTAGCCTCTCTGGCGGCTCTGGCTACTGCTCGGCAGATGGTCCTGGAGTCGACGGGGATGTCCTCCTGTGGTAGCTCCGCCGCTTCCTTTGCTATGGCGTCTGCCCGCTCGTTGCCTTCGATCCCGCAGTGGGAAGGCACCCACTGAGCGTGAATCGGGCGGTGACCCTCCCGGGACAGCCGCGAGAACGCCCGCCAGATCCTGACGCCTAGCGGTGACGTCTGCGCGGTAGGCCCCGCCCGGAGGGTAGCCAGGGAGGCCATACTGTCCGTGCAGATCACGATGGGGATGTCGCGGTCTCGTGGATTGTCGAGCAGGTGCTCAAGCCCGGACGCCAGGGCGAGCATCTCTGCTCGGTAGCTGGAGCAGTGTCGTCCGGCCGGTGTCTTCAGGTCTTCCTCCTCCCCGTCCGACCAGATGACCACAGCTCCAGAGCCTCCGTCCTTGACGCCACCCTCCACGGAGCCGTCTGTCCACAACCAGGTTGCTCTCTGTGGTAGAGCGGCAAGATGACGGGTGGCAGCCCGTATCTTCTCTCCTTCTGTCGCACCGGTTCGTAGTGGCCCCACGTCCAGGCAGAAGGTGACGTTTCCTCCGCGCTCCCACGGCGGGATGCGAGGAGGCAGCACCGGCTCGATCGGTGCGGTGACCTCCACCTCAGCCAGCATCTGGCGGCCCAGCGTTCGCCACCCCCGCACAGAAGACAGCCGCGAGGGCGCCGAGGCCTCAGCTGTCCTGCGCAGGGGGTCGGTCGGCGGTAACGCCAGGGCACGACCCAATAGCCGAGCGGCGAGGACTTTCTTCCGCTCCTCCATGGGGGCCAGCCTCGCCTCCGCCATCACCGCGTGTGTCGGCGTGGAGCGGGGGCATCCGGTGACGATCCGCGCGGCCGCCTCATCTCGCGCTCAATGAGCTCGGCGTGAGATGGCGCGGTTGCGGGCAGCCATGCAGCGGCAGCGTGCTCCAGAGCCCCCCGAACATATCCGTTGGCGACTGTTCTTAGAGCCTGTTCGTCCAGCCCCCAGCTGCGGCCGGCTAGGCGTCTCAGGTGGGCGACGCGGGGGCGGACTCGTCTTCTCAGACGGCGGCAGTGTGCTCCGAACTGGAGTCGGCGGTCGAACTCGATGCCGAGGAGCACCAGTGAGTCGCCCGCCCGCACCGTCTTCCCTGACACCTTGATGGTGCACCCGACGGCGTCCTTGGCGTTCTGCGACAGTACTAGCAGCTGGGTTTTCTCTCCGGCCACCAACATCTTGTTTCGGTGTGCCCAGGCGGCTAGAGCATCAGCCGCTGTCTGGGCGCGTTGTATCGCCGTCTCCAGAGTGTTGCCGGAGCTGAGCACAGCAGTATCGTCAGCGTATATGTACGGTGAGATGCCAGGTGCGCGGAGGGCCTCGGCTAGTCCTGCCGCCCATAACAAAACAACTGGGGGGACAGGACGCTTCCCTGAGGGAGGCCCGCGCGGAAGATCCGCTCCTTGGAGAGCGCACCCTGTACCTCAACCCGCACTCGACGGTCTCGTAGCCAGCTCCACACCCAGCGAACCAGGCACAGAGGGAGGCCCAGCTCGAGGAGGCGCAGCTTCAGAAGTTTGTGGTCTACCACGTCGTACGCTCGGCTGAAGTCGTACGCGGTGAGGAGGTACTTCTGGCTGTGCTGCCGTCCGGTCGCTCAGCACGCCTGTCATACTTGGGCCGCTGCCATCCGTCTTGGACGTTCTGGACGAGCCGGCCAATGCTATCTTCTGCAGACCGCTTGGCTCTGAAGCCCACCTGTTCGTCAGGGACAAGGCCGCGACTCTCCGCCACGAACGCAAGCCGAGCTAGTATCAGTCGCTCGGCGAGCTTGGAGACGCTGCTTGTGAGCGCGATCGGGCGGTAACTCGTCAGCAGACGCTTGTCCTTGGAGGCCTTGGGGATCGGAATCACGGTGGCCGCGCGCCACTCCCGGGGGACCTCCCCGACTCTCCACGAGAGGTTAATCACGCGGAGGAGGGCTCTGCGCGCCACCGGACCGAGATGCTTGATCATCTCGTTGGTGATCCCGTCTGGTCCTGGTGACTTCTTCAGTTGGAGAAGTTGGATTTCTCTGGTCAGCTCCTCCTCGGAGAATGGCGAGCAGCACCCGGTGTGGTCGCCGTCACAGTCGGCGCAGCGCGCGGCTGGAGATCCGACAGTCGTCGTCGCGCAGCTCGGTCGATCTTCGGCGCCCTCACCTGGCGGGAGACATGGGCGTACTGGGCGGCGAACGCATTGGCCTTCTCCTCGGCTGTTACGAGTAACCGGTCTCCGATCCGCATCGCCTCGCCCTCTCGGTGGTCGTCGTCCACGGCACCCTCCCACTTCTTCAGGAGCCGGGAGACTCGGCCACGCTGGTAGGTCGGTTCAGCTCGGTGGTAACGAAGTCCCGGAATTGCTCCCTGGTAACTCGCTTCTCCACCTGGTTGGCCCGGCGCTTAGCCTCAATCCAGCGGGTTCTCGATTGGGGGTCTCCCGACTTCACGTTGTCTCTGGCTGCCCGGCGTTCCTGAATCGCCAGCTGGAGATCCGGGTGGAGTGCCCACGGTTTGGCGTCTCTCCTAGCTCCCCGGGGGATGAATTCCTTCGCGGCGTCCTGGACTGCTGCGGTGAATCGGGTGGCCAGAAGTTGAACCGTGGCCTGTGGGGGGGCCGGAACGGAGAGGGCTGCCTCGCACGACTTCCCGAACTCGACCCAGTCGGCTTTGTGGTGGGCCCACCGCGTTTTCCTCTTCCTTCGCGGGGGATCCGCCCCACGGAGTTCGACCACCATAGGGAGGTGGTCACTCCCGAGGTCGGAGCCCCGCGTCCAGTGGGTCCTGGCAGCTAGTTCGAAACCGCAGGCGGCGAGGTCGGGGGCCGTCTGACTCCCGGTCCGGTAACTGATGAAGGTCGGGGCGCCGCTATTGAGGGGCCTCCACCCGATGTCCTCCATCCAGTCGGCCAGGCGTTCCCCAACGGAATCAGCCTCGTCGCAGCTGTCGTCCCAGGAAGGGTGGTGTCCGTTTACATCGCCGACCAGGCACTCGGGGGCCATCAGGGAGGCAGTGCGGGTCGAAGTGGTCCTGTCGATCGTCTCCCGTCGCCCGGATGGGCGGTCTGTATATGTTGATGACGTCGAGGGGGGTTTGGCCGAGGACCCGAACGCCACATATCTCGGTCGTGTCGTCCGTGTTCGCCAGGAACGGGCCCTCCAGGACGGTGAAGTGTAGGCCTGCCCGCACGTACATGCATACGTCTCCGCCCTTCACCGCCGCGCCTGCTGTACGGCCTCGCGCACGGCGCACTACTACCGGGGGTTGATAGCCGGCCAGCCTCGGAGCCACCTCGGGAAGCTGCGCCTCTTGTATCGCCACAATGTCCGCTCTGACAGTCGTGAGCCAGCGCTGGAGCTCCGCTTGCTTGGTGCGGAGCCCCTCCGCATTCCATGAGACGATTCTCACGTGGCTTCTCCGGTTCCTGTTGCGGTGGTAGCGACGGTTCTTGAGGCGACGGTTGTGGTGGTCCGGGCGCCGGGCCGATCCCCCCGGAGCGGCGCCCCTCCTCCCGCCGGCGCTAGCGGGAGGGGGCGCGGCCTGGGGTCTAATCATTTAGCGGGCCGGGGCCGCGGCGGGCGTGCGACGCCGCGGCTCCCAGGCCCGCTGCGGTAGCTGGAGAGTAGCTTCCGGTAGGAGGAGATCCGGGAGAGCAGCCGGCGACGGCGGGCAGCCACCCCCAGCTGCGCCCCGGAGGGCACGTGACTTCGTTTGGCTCCCCGGAACCGGAGTCGGCCGGCGCCGGGGCAGACCCGAGGCGAGCCCCAGGTCCACACCCCCCACCACTTGAAGGCGAAGTCTCCAGGGGGCCACTGCGACACCTCGGGTGAGGGGTCGGCCTGGGGCCCCAGGTGGACAGGGCCCGGGCCCCCAGGAGAACGGGCCCGGCCCCCTGGGTGGATGGGACCCGGGCCCCCTGTAGATGGGTCCGGGCCCCCGGGTGGATAGGGCCCGGGCCCCCCGGCGGATGGGGCCCCGGTGGATGGATCCGAGCCACCGGGAGAACGGGCCCCGGGTGGACGGGGCCCGGACCCCCCGGGTCCCGCGAGAACGGGTCCAGGCCCCTCGGGTGGATGGGGCCCGAGGCTCCGGGAGAGCGGGCCCGGGCCCCCTGGGTGGAGGGGGCCCGGGCCCCCGGCTGGATGGGGCCCGGGCCCCCGGGAGAACAGCCCTGAGCCCCGGGTGGACGGGGCCGTACCCCCGGTTGGATGGGGCCCGGGCCCCGGGAGAACGGGCCCGGGCCCCCTGGGTGGATAGGGCACGGGCCCCTGGGTGGATAGGGCACAGGCCCCCGGGTGGATGGGGCCCGGGCCCCGGGAGAACGGGCCCGGGCCCCTTAGGTGGATGGGGCACGGCCCCCCGGGTAGATGGGGCCAGGGCCCCCCGATGGATGGGTCCGGGCCCCCGGGAGTACGGACCCCAGGCCCCGGGTGGACGGGGCCCGGGCCCCCGCTGGATGGGGCCCGGGCCCCCTGGTGGGCGGGCCCCGGAGCCCCGGGTGGACGAGGCCCGGAGCCCAGTGAACGTGGCCCGGGCCCCCGTATGGATAGGGCTTGGTCCCCCATGTGGATAGGGCCCGAGCCCCCGGGTGAATGGGGCCCGCTAGGGTGACCCGCTTGCTTCGCAACGCGAATAAGGGGCATTTTCGATCGG